ATCATCATTATCATCATTATCATCATCATCATCATCATCATCATCATCATCATCATCATCATCATCATCATCATCATCATCCAACGCAGACAGCTCGAGGGAGTGGCCCGTGAGTGCCTTTGGCAGGCCTGGAGATTCCAGCTCCCAGGGGATAGACGCCCTTTTCCGAGCGCGAGCGCGCTGAAGCTGGCTCCACATATGTAGAAAACTCCCGCTCGAAATGCGTTCGCGATTTATACACAAACGAAGACCCCGCCTGAGACTTCCTCCGTACTCAAGCTTGCAAGAAGAGGCCAAACATGACGACGACTACAGGATTCCGATGACCAACTCGGAGTAGTACCATGAGCTGTGGGCCCCATAGGGAGGGGGCCCGCCGGAGACTTCCTCGCGAGTCACTCACAGACGAGGCTCACGCCTGAGACTTCCTGCATACCGAAGCCTGAAGAAGCTGAAAGTGACGACAACTACAAGATTCCGATGACCCGCTCGGATCAATATTATGAGCTGCGGGCTCCATACGGAGGGGGCTCCCGCCTGAGACTTCCTCGCAATTCCCTCACAGACGAGGCTCCCGCCCGAGACTTCCTCCATACGCAAGCTTGACGATGCCAAAAATGACGACGGTTACAAGATTCCGATGACCCGCTCGGGTTCATAACATAAGCTGCGGACCCGATAAGGAGGGGGCTCCCGCCTGAGACTTCCTCGCAACTCACTCACAGACGAGGCTACTGCCTGAGACTTCCTCCATACTCAAACTTTAGGAAACCAAAACTGACGACAGTTACAGGGTTCCGATGACTCGCTCGGATCAGTAACATGAGCTGCGGGTCCCATGGAGGGGGCTCCCGTCCGGCACTTCCTCGCAAATCACTCACAGACGAGGCTCCTGCCTCAGACTTCCTCCATACTCAAGTTTTTTTAAAGTAACCAAACATGACGACAGTTACAGGATTCCGATGGCCGCTCGGATTCGTAACAGAAGCTGCGGGCCCCATAGGTGGGGAGACTCCCGCCTGAGACTTCCTTGCAATTCGCTCACGGACGAGACTCCCGCTTGGTCGATGGTCATGATGGGATGGTGATGGTGATGACGATGGTGGTGTGCGATGGTGTTGACGGTGGCGACGACAATGACGGCAGATGATCATGGCGGGATCATGACATGTTAACGAATCAGCGAGTGATGAGTGAGTGAGTGAGAGAGTGAGTGGATGATGGTGATGGTGATGGTGATGGTGATGGTGATGGTGATGGTGATGGTGATGACGATGACGATGACGATGACGATGATGATGATGATGATGATGATGATGATGATGATGATGATGATGATGATGATGATGATGATGATGATGATGATGATGATGATGGTGGGTGATGATCCTGAGGAGACGGTGGTAGTGATGCTGATGGTGAGTGTGATGATGATTGTAATTGTGATGGTGATGAGGAAGAGTTGGGTGAGGAGAGATCCTGCGCGGAGGTGTGCAGAGAAAACAAGAACCCCACTGTGGATGTGGGGAACAAACACGGCCGGAGCCCGGGACCCCCATTTTTTGCGAAAATATTCGAGACGGAACGATCTGCGAGGATCCTGGGGGCGTGACACCGGGCGAAGACGCCTGTTGTGACAAAAGTTGTAACGCCAGGATCTGGGGGGGAGGAGGACGAGGAGGAGGAGGAGGAGGAGGAGGAGGAGGCGAAGGAGGAGGACAAGGAGGAGGAGGAGGAGGAGGAGAACGAGGAGGAGGACGAGGAGGAGGACGAGGAGGAGGAGGACGAGGACGAAGAGGAGGAGGAGGAGGAGGAGGAGGAGGACGAGGAGGAGGACGACGAGCCCTCTCCCCCTCCAGCGCTCGCCCCTCGCCCCCCTGAGCATCACTTGACCAATCCTACATTTCGCCACTGGCTTGGCCCAGGCCTCGGTAGCCGAATTCCTGACTCCCCCAGATGGGGATGTGGGCTGTTCCTTCTCAGGTTTCGCGTGGCCCATCCCCAACTGGGATGGTGGGATGGTGGGGATCGGTACGGGGATGGTTCTGGGGCAACTCTTGGGAACACTCTTGCATGTCGACGCTTACGAGGCTAAATCGACGCCGATCGGTGCTAACCGACGTTACATCGGCGCTATCTCATCGACAACTGGACGGGATCGGGACAGGGGATCGGTTCAACGATATGGATCGCCCTCTCCCCACCCCAGGAGGGCCGCTCCACTGGTAGTGGTGCGCCGCGGGGACGAGGAGGAGGACGAGGATATTGTAAGACGCGAGGAGTCATAGGAGTCACGTTGCCCGACGCTGCGAGCCCCGCTCAACGTCTGCTGCCTAACGCAAACACTGAGCGTGGCCGTCCCGCTCCCCCCCTCAGAAGACCAGGAGGAGGAGGAGGAGGAGGAGGAGGAGGAGGACGAAGAGGACGAGGAGGAGGACGAGGAGGACGAGGAGCCTCACCCCCCTCCAGCGCCCGTCCCGCGCCCCCCCCCGCGGAGGACCGCTCCACTGGTAGTGGTGCACCGCGAGCACCAGCCGCCCCCCGAGCTCGGGCAGCAGCGGCCCCGGGCTCGCTGCGTAGGCCGCGAGCGGCCTGCCGCCGCGGGGCGTCGTCGTCGTCGTCGCCGCCGTCGCCGTCGTCGATTAGCGTCGACTGGCGTCGATTAGCGCCGATTTAGCGTCGATCCGCAAGAGCCACCAGGATGGCGTGGGAGGCTCGCGTGGGCTGCCGCAGAACCATCCCCGTCCCGATCCCCACCATCCCACTGCCCCAGTAGGGGATATGCCCCTCGCAAGGGGAGCAGCCTGCGTGCCCATCTAGGGGGGTAAATAATTCGGCTAGTGGGGCCCATGCCACGCCCGTGGGAATAGGGATCGGATAAGTGATGCTCAGTCCGCGCGCTCGACCTCGTCGTCGTCGTCGTCGTCGCCGTCGTCGGCGGCCGCCGTCGTCGCCGCCGCCGCCGCCGCCGCCGCCGCCGCCGCCGTCGTCGTCGTCGTCGTCGTCGTCGTCGTCGTCGTCGTCGTCGTCGTCGTCGTCGTCGTCGTCGTCGTCGTCGTCATCGCCGCCGCCGCCATCGCCGCCGTCGCGGGCCGACCCAGCATGACCCAAAGATCGGAGGCGCCGAAGAAATGGGAGCAGCCAATTTGGGCTACCTTCGGCCCCCAAGGGCCCTCAGCGGGCCAGGGCTCTACCAAAAGACGGCTGAGGACGGAAAACCAGCCCCAGGGAAGTGGCCCAGGTGGGGTGGCCCCCCGCTGGCAGGGCGAGGCGCGCCCGCCGTGCCTCCCAGACGACGACGACGACGACGACGACGACGACGACGACGACGACGGCGACGACGACGACGAAGATGGCGGCGGACGACCCGCGCCAGCAGCAACAGCAGCAGCAGCACCACCAGCAGCACCAGCAGCACCGCGAGCGGGAGCGGGTGGCGCGGAGGAGGACGACGCGAGGAGCACCGCAAGCAGAAAGGCGACGACGACGAGGACGAAAAGCGGACTTCCCAGGGTCCACGCATCGAAACATATAATCACTCGATGTATTGGCCTGCACCCCTACCCTCGTCCTTCCGCGCCACCCGTTCCCGCTCGCAGTGCTGCTGCTGCTGCCGCGCGTCATCCACCGCCGCCGTCGTCGTCGTCGTCGTCTCCGTCTTTGTTTTTGTCATTGTCGTCGTCTTCGGCTTCGTCATCCACGTCCGTCCACTGCTTAATCCTCATCCTCCTCCTCCTTCTCATCGCGCTGCTGCCCCCTTTGCTCCTCCTGCGTCTCCTGATCCTCCTCCTCGACGTCTTTCTCGTCTTCGTCGGAGGACGGACGCATCCCCTTGGGTCTGCCAAAATCCCTGCGGACACCCGCGCCCCGGCCAAGAAAAATACGCCGAACATCAACACCGGCATCGACATTCCATCCTCATCCAGATCCTGCTACTTCCGCTTGTGTTTTCTGCTCGTCGCCATCATCATTGTCCTCCTCCTCCTCCTCCGCCTCCTCCTCCTCATCATCATCATCATCATCATCGTCGTCGTCGTCCTCGTCGTATTCGTCGTCGTCGACGTCCTTCTGCTCGTCCTCCTGCTGCGCTGATTGTTCTGTTGACCCCCCTATCCCTCATCGTCCTCGTCTTCGTCATCGTCGTCGTCGTGCTTCCTCCTCCTCCTCCTTCTCCTCCTCCTCCTCCTCCTCTCTTCCCCTCCTCTTCCTCCTCCTCTTCCTCCTCCTCGTCCTCCTCCTCTTCTTGTGTGCTCGTCCTCTTTCTTGTCCCCACATGGTCCCAACGATCGTCATACTTCCCATTGTCCTCCGTAGATTCCCGTCCTCCTCTTCTCCTTGTACCCCCCCTCTTTTTACAGGTATCCCTCCTTCCCCCCACCCATCTCCCGATACGTTGTGACTGTGTGTTGTGTGTTTTCTTTCTCTCTCTCTCTCTCTGACTCCCGCTCTCTACCCTTCTCTCTCTCTCACTCTCTCTCTCTCTCTCGTTCTCCCTCTCCCTCAGTCCATCCATCCATTCCATCAACCCCCTCCTCCCTCCCATCCCTCAATTCCTTCCTCCATTCCGCTTCCTGCATCCTTTCTCTTGCCTCCACGACTCCTTTCCTCTCTTACCTTGTCCTCCCCACGCCTCCTCCCTGCTCCTCATCGTCATCGTCACTCCGTGCCAACGTCGTCGTCGTCATCATCATCAATATCACCACAATGATCATCATCAACGATCAGAAGCATCACCACCATCCTCGTATTCCTCGCGCTTCTTCTCCGCCTCCTCCTCCTCCTCCGCCTCTCCTCCTTCATCCTGAATCCTTTATCAAGCGCCAACACTGTCTACATGTCTCCCCTTCTCTTGCATTCCCCTTTCGCCTCCTCTTCCTCCTCCTCCGCCGTCTCCTCCTCATTCATCCTCCTCCTCCTCCTCCTCCTCTTGATGTTCATGCCTGATCATCGTCATCTGCCAACCCCGTCCAGCTTCCTCAATTCTCGTCCATCCTCCTTTCTCCTCCTTTCTCCTCTTCCTTTTTCCTCTTCCTTTCTCCTCGTCCTCCTCCCCGTATCCTCTTTGCCCCTCCACCCTACAACGACGGCAAAGGTGCGGCGATGGTTCGATCGATGACGATGGCGGTGTGATAGCGATGTCTCTTAATTTGCGCGGGCGTGCACGTCGTCGGCGATGGCAGCCATTCTTCTGAGAGCTGGGTCCAGAGGAGGTGAAAGAGGATGAATGAGTACTCGCAGTCAAAGTCGTGATATGATGAAGCAACCTGGGTTGAGACTGTCTGGTGATCCCCTGATGAATGAAACGCGTCTGCGGAACGCCAAGCCAATTCCATAACAAAGGTTTTCTTTTCATCCCAAAGCTTCGGTGGTATCCTCGTACGAGGGATGAAGGAAGAATAGTCTCGATAGCAAGCTGGGACTGGTCTAGATGAAACAGAACCAGGCCGGATGAGGCGGGGTTGAGCGCCAAGGAACCAATTACCAGGGTTAGAGGACTAACTCAATTGTGCAGGAATTGCTCCCTACTGTTGAAGAGGGTTCGGGAAGAAGAGACAGAGGGACGAGGACCAGAGACACAACAAATGCATAACCATATACCTTCGGAGGCACGCGCGGACTTCTTGGGTCGGCGCTGGACCGTCCTAACCTGGCGCGCGGCGGGTTCAGCGCCGACCCGAGAGATCCCCGCGGACTTCGGAAGATGTACGTTCATGCCGCCTCTTGTTCTCCCACGGTGGGGGTCAACGATACTGTACGGGGGGACTGGCTCAGCGGGGGAACAGCGAGCTTGAACGGGCGTTGCATCGTCGATAGATCGGCGAGATGCCCCTATCGCGAAACACCGCATTGTCCTGGGCGGGGTGGGGCTATCGGGCCTCTGCGGGTGACGAATGGGCGGTGGGGAGGAGGAGGAGGAGGAGGAGGCGGAGGAGGCGGAGGAGACGGAGGAGGAGGAGGAGGCGGAGGAGGAGGAGGAGGAGCAGGAGGAGGAGGAGGCGGAGGCGGAGGCGGAGGAGGAGGAGGAGGAGGAGGAGGAGGAGGAGGACCCCAAATCCCTACCGAAAACTGCTCCCTGGTTTTCGACCACAGCTCGGCTCTGCGGCGGCCGTGGGGGACGATCCGGGCCACCCTGGGGACGCTCTCGGCGATGCGCAGCTTCTGGAAGGAATCCCGGGGCTGGAAAGCCTGAAGCCCGAGAGGTCCCCCCCCCGAGCCTGCAGCCATGGTGCTGCCCATAAGGAGCGCATGGCAAAGAACGACGAGGCTCTTCGGGCCACGGCGGGCCTTAGCCACAGAGCGCTTCCACGACATACACCCGAGCCCCTCCTGAGCCCAAAGCGGTCCCTAACTTCAGCGTCTTGACTGTATCCGCCCCCCCCCCTAACGCTGCCCCTGACAGAAGCGGGGGCATGCCCGCGGATAGTCTGCGAGGGCGGGCGCCAGCCAGACGGGACACCGCGGTCTTATGCTGCGGGCGGACCCAGCCGGCGGGCAGCCGCGCCGACATTCGGGCAGCAAAAGCACTGGGCGTTGCTAAATGGCGGGGCGATAAATCCGCCGACACTGTCGGCGTGTGTGAGGGGCTTGGCTGTCGTCTCGTCCCTTTCCCTGCATCCCTCCTCCTCAAGCTTGTCAGCGAGAGAAAAATCTAGCAATGTCGTAATCGAGTCGAAGGGAAGCCCCTTCCCTTTGAACCCTTCCCCGCGCCAAAGGGGTGGGGTCCTGGGGGAGTCCCGTGAGGGGTCGCCACCCAGATACGTTTCCCCCCTGGGGACCCTGGGGCCTCAGAAAGTACCAAGAAGAGTGCCCCAAGAGGCCGCCGAGACGGTCCAATAGTTCACAATCGCCAAACGATCGGTCCAAAACGTCTTCACGCCCTCCAGACTGCCCAGGAAACCTTCAGGACGCCCCAGGACGCTTTCAAGAGCACTCCCAAGAGGGCCCCAAGAGGTCTCTGGCAGGGGAGGTCCAACGGGGGTGGGTGGGTGGGAGCTAAGGCCCCCCCCACCCTGGGAAAGGGAGGGGGGAGCTTCTGGAGGGCGAAAACAAGGAGGGGGGCTAGCTTCCGAGGGGCAGAAAAAAGGAGAGGGCGGGGGGGCTTCGGGCAAGGGAGGTGCAAGGCGGGGGGGGGTAGCTGAGCCTCCCCCCCTTGAGAAAGGGAGGGGGGGGGAGCTTCCCGAGCGCCAACGGAGAAGTGGGGGGGTAGCTTCCGATGGGCGAGACAAAAGGAGTGAAGAGTGGGGTCTGGCAGGGGAGGTTCAAGGGGGGGAGGGTAGCTAAGCCCCCCACCTCTTTGGAAAGGAAGGGGAGGGAGTTAGATTCTGGAGCGCGAAAGGGAGGGTGGGGGTAGCTTCCGAAAGGCGAGATGTAGGAGGGGGGGGGCTTCCGGCAGGACAGGTCCAAGTGGTGGGGGTAGCTAAGGGGGGACCCCCCCTTTGGGAGCGCGAAACCAGCGCGCTCATCCATACATACATGCATGCATGCATGCATATATACATACACATACATGCATGTGCGTGCATGCATGCATACATACATGCCTTACCTCCCTACCTCCCTACCTACTTGCCTACCTGCCTACCTGCCTACCTGCCTACCTGCCTACCTGCCTACCTGCCTACCTGCCTACCTGCCTACCTGCCTACCTGCCTACCTGCCTACCTGCCTACATACATACATACATACATACATACATACAGACAGACAGACAGACAGACAGACAGACAGACAGACAGACAGACAGACATGCATACATACACATACATCCATACATACATACATACAGACAGACAGACATACATACATACACACCTATACATACATACATACGTACATGCATGCATACATACATACATATATACACATCCATACATACATACATACATGCATACATACATGCATGCATGCATACATACATACATACACACAACCACCAATCCATACATACATACATACATACACAACCACACACACATACATGCCTTCCAGACATGCATACATACTCATACACATGCACATACACATACATACACATACACATATGCATATACATATACGTGTGCAACCTTATATATGTATACACACTACACATCCAGAATCATGCATACATGCACCCGTGCATGTATACATGCATACAGACATCTATGAGTGCATGCATGCATACATGCATAGTTATTGGCCTGAATATATACACATGCATACATGCATACGTACGCACATGTCGTACATCCACACACGCCGTGCATACCTACCTACCTACCTACACGCACGCTCATACATGTATGCATGCATATGTACATACCTATATATATATATGCATATATCCATCCATCGGTGCATGCATGCATGCATATATACATAAGCACACACATACATGCATGCATGCATGCACTCATACATATACACATAAACACACATACGAGCATGCATGCATGCATACATACATTCATACACACATACATGCATGCATGTACACATACACATACATGTCCACACACATGCATGTATGTATGCATGCATACACATACATACATACATGCATGTATTGATTAGTTCGTTCATACATGCGTGCGTACATTCCTACATTCATACATCTAGTCATTCTTTCATTCATACATCCATACGTACATACATATGAAAGAAGCGGGTCCTGCGGGAAACGGGTGCTCGACCACTGGGTTTTCCCCAAGCTCTGGTCAGCACCGATTCTTTTTACGACTGCCCCCGGGCCCGTGGAGGGCCCTGGGAAACCAAACGCTGCGTAACACCTCAGGACCCGTTTCTCTCAAGACCCGCTTCCTTCATGGACCACATATTCCCCCCAATTGTGGCCGGTCGGTACGCAGTTAGCCGCTCGTGGTCGAGGTCCGAGCTCACTCGGCGGAGTCCTTGCACCTCTTGTCGGAGCGCGAAGCGACCCCGAAGCGCCTTTGCGCACAGCCGCCGCCGACGTCGGCGACTCCTCCTCCATTCCTTTTCCTTTGAAATAACTTCTCCCCCTGTCGCACCCCAAGGCCAGTTTTTAGGGCGGGCCTGGCGTTTCGCCCGAGACTTCTTCGCCATGTATGCTTCTGAAGCTCAGAAATTGGCAACAGCTTCACAGATGGAAGGCGGGCCGTTTTCAAAATGTGGCTCTCGCATTAGCGCCGCGCACATTCGTTTCAAAATTTGCGAGAGTTTCACGAAGTGAGGCGAATAGTTTTCAAACTTTGGCTCTCGCCTTAGCGCCGTGCACATTCGTGGGCGGTTCCTTTTCAGAATGTGGCTCTCGCCTTAGCGCCGCGCACATTCGTTGTTTGAACATTGCAAGAGTTTCGCGGATTCCCATGATCAACGTAGCAGAAATGGAGTTTGCAAGGATTCAAGATCATGCGGGCGCAACAGGTACGTTGACTCGCGGTGTTGACGTCCCAGGAATGGCGTTCTGGCCCGATTCAGGATTGTCCAGACGCAACAATCAGGTTGATCCGTGGCGTTGGAGTCCCGAGAACAATGTTTTGGCATGCTTCAGGGTCTTCAAACGGTTGTCTTCCAACGAGGCAATTTCATCAACGGCAATGACCCGTTGTAGGGGCCTAGGAAGAGGGAGCTTGGAGGGAGGGTTTATTCCAACATCGTTGATGACTCTTGGGTTTACGCTGGTCTTCCTCCTCCTCCTCCTTCCTCCTCCTCCTTCGACGGCGACGGCAAAGACGACTCCGACGACTAAGGCTGCGAAGACGGCGCCGACGACGAGGGCAACGGCGACGACAGACGACGACGGACGACGGCGCCGACGACGACCGCGGCGACGACGGCGCCGACAACAACGGCGACGACAGCTGATGGACAGACATCCGATGTCTTCAAATTGCCAATGCGGGGCCCCTGGAGGGCTCACCCACTTCCCTGGAACCAGCTCTCCGTACGGAGTCGTGTTTGACGGTCGCAAAGCCCAGCGAGGGCCCCCAATGGCCGAAAACCGAACAAACTAATTTCCGCGCGAAGTTTCTCGAGACGTTGGAGGTCTGAGCGCGACAGATGGCCAACGATGGCGGCGGCGACGACGGCGGCGGCGCCGCCAGGGCCAAAGCGCAGATCCGAGAAATCCGAATGGACCTCTGAACATATTTGTTTATGCCGCTGCTTCTTCTTCTTCGATACGCGGTCGACGTTCTATCCATGCCCCCTGCTCACGCCCCAATCCCACCCTGTGGCCATAGTGGGGGTATGGATGAGAATACAGCCCCAGGCGCCGAGCCTCTGATCCACACCCTGACCCTCCTGGCGCCCAGAATTGGGGCAGCAACATGGGCGTTAGGGGAATCAAAAGTACCGATACTGCTACTTCCTGGATCTCTCCTGGGGTATGCTCTGACCAGGACTCCGAGGAGAATCCAGCGGTGGCGACGATGGCCTCCCGGGAGGCCGAAACAGGGGAGAATGGGCGAAGGGTAATGGTATCGGTACCTCTTCCTCGTCTGAAGTATGGATCGAACGCCCGTGGGTAGCCAGACATCCGATGTCCCGAATGTCTCGATACAGGTCCCTTGGAGGTCTGCATCTTGCCCCCAGGGCTGGTCCTTCCTCCTGAGAAGTCTTTGACGGCCCAGCGGCCCGGCGAGGGCCCCCAGCAGAGGCCGAAAAATGAGAGAAACAATCTCAGCCTCGAGTTTCCCGAGACGCCAAGAGGTCAGGGCATGGATCGTCCACATGCCATCTCTTCTCCTTCAAACGACGCCGACCGAGATGCCTGCGCACGCCGAGATCCGACGTCGCGAAAAAATGGAAACATCGTAGAAAATCACGACCGGAGCCTTGGACTTAAGTCGGATGGGCCTGTGATGGTTCCGGGGCCCGAAACCAACCGAAAACGCCCGCCTCGAAAAAAGGGGAAAGCACAGGGTACCGATGCGGCTACTCCCCAGACCTCTCCCTGGGTGCGGTCTGACCAGAATTTCGAAGCGAATCCAGCCGTGGCGACGAGGGCTTCTCAGGAGGCACATACCTTTCCTCCTCTGACTTGTTTCTTTTTCGATTGGCGGCACGCACGAAAGGGGGTAGGGGGGGAAGGCTTCTTAGAAGGAGGCTGCTTCTTAGAAGGCGCTGACCTTACGTTTACATGCGAAGCCCGCGCCTTCTAAGCAGGGGCGCTTCTAAAAGCCTGCCCACCTCCCCCTACCCCCACCTGCGCGTGGCTGATTCGAGCGACGCCGACCGAAACGCCTGCGCACGCCGAGGAGCGTGAGGCCGGCTGGCTCCGCCGGCAGCACCACCCGGCACGCGGGGCCGGTGCGCTCGACGTGCTGCAAGACGCAGGCGAAAGCGCAGGCGCCGGCGATGAGCACGCCAGCCACGACGGCTGGCAGGGAGGCGTGGCCCTCCTCGTGACTCCTGGTGGGATGTTCGACATATTTGGACGCCCGAATTATCCGGGGTAACTCGGGTCCAGGGTAACTCGGGTTTGGGTTCCCGAAAAACGAACCCGAGTTAGCCCTGACCCGAGTTACCCCTGATGATTCGGGGCCCTGGACGCCCGAAATATCCGGGGTAACTCGGGTCCGGGATAACTCGGGTTCGGAATCCCGAAAAAGGAACCCGAGTTATCCCTGACCCGAGTTACCCCTGATGATTCGGGGCTCTGACATATCTCGAGTTATCTGGATTTGCGCTGATGGAACCTAGATCCCAGAGAGCGCGGTTCACGGGCGCTTGCCCTGGGAACATTCGGCGGCGCGTTTCGAACCGGGGGGTGGGCCCCACCCCCCAACTCTCGGCGCCGCCGAACAGAACCAGGGTGTCCCCCCCAAGAAAAGAGCAGTATGGTCTAACTCGTCTAATGTTTTCTCTTCCGGCTTCCCGTTGGTGGGGTTCGAACCAAGCCCCCTGTCCTCTTTCTCCTCGGTCCTCGGCGCCGATTGTGGCGCCTGCGCTGGCGGCGGCCAGCAGCACCAACGGCAGCCGCAGCGACGATGACCAGAGAGAGCCCGTAAACCGCCACGGGGAAATACAAATTGCCATAACGAGCAGTTGGTTCCCAAAAGCCACTTGGGAACTTTCAGAAGTTCCCAGAGACGCCCGAGAGGCGCCCAAGACGCCCCTGGGACCCCTTCTGGCGTGACCCCAGGAAGCATCCACTGGAATTACAAACCAAAGCCAAGACACGGTGACGGAAAAACCCGAAGGCCACACCACCACCATCACCATCACCACCACCACCACTACCACAAACCACCACCGCCACCGCTACCACCACGACCACCACCACCACAACCACCACTATCCACCGCCACCACAACCACCCCCACCAGCAGCACAAACCACCGCCCACCACCACAACCGTCACCACCACCACCACAACCCACCACTATCCAACACAACCACCACAACCACCGCCATAAACCACCACACCACCACCACCACCACCACCACCACCACCACCGCCACCACCGTCACCGCAACGCACCACCACCTTAACCCATCACCACCACCACCACAAACCACTACACCACCACCACCACCACCACCACCACCACCACAACCGCCACCGCCACCACCGCCACCACCCACGACCCACCACCACCACCACCGCCGCCACCGCCACAAACCGCCACGCCACCGCCGTCGCCGCCGCCACAACCGCCCCCGCCACCACAACCCACCACCGCAAACCGCCACGCAGCCGCCACAACCACCACCGCCACCACCATAACATTCGCAACAATCATTTTACCATCGTGCGCCATGCTTCCACGTGTCACATGCACCCTTCCGGGTACCGCGCCCCATCGTGGGGGATTTTTCTGGCGCGCGGGGCCCGATATACCCTCTCCCGGACATCCCGCCGAATACAGCATTGCCACCACCCCTTCCGAGGCACTTCGACATCCACAGCTCGGACGGCACATCGCCGTCGCAATCGCCTTGCGCACGCGCCGTATCTCGGAGGGGGAGGAAGAGGGCGAGGAGGGGAGGGATGATGAGAAAGAGGAAAAAAGGAGAGGAGGAGGAGAAGGATGATGAGGAGGGGAACGAGTAGTTGTAGTAGCAGTACCTCCGAGGACGAGGTGGTTCGTATTCATCGTTCGAACTGTTACGCCACCATCCTGCGGCCTCGGCGCGTGGCCCTGAACGTTCACGCCCCCAGGCGCTGCCGTTCCCATGTTCGCATCCTCCACCTGCCCCTTCCGCACCTTCTCAAATAATCCCTGAAGTCAATCCTTCGACCCTCGACCCCTGGAGCTCCTGGAAGTCATCCGTCCTCCTTCTTCTCCTCCTCCTCCACCTGTGCTGTCCAAAAATTATAGCTAATTCATAAGTTAGGTTCAACAGGGACTCTTGGAAGCCCCCCAGAGGCGATGCCGAAACGAAGGCCCCAGTCTTGAGTTAAAGGTGAGGAAGTATCAAGCGGGAGCGACGAGGGAGGACGGAAGGGGAAGGGAGGAGGGAGGAGAGAGGCAGGAGGAGGGAGGGGACAAAGGGGGACGAAAAGGGAAAGGAGGAGGGAGGAGGAGGGAGGAAGAGGGAGGAAAGAGGGACGGGAGAGGGAGGAGGGAGGAGGGTGACGAGGGGGTGGAGGGAGGAAGAGGGAGGAAGAGAGAGGGGGGGAAGGAGGCAGGAGGGAGGAAGAGGGAGGAAGAGAGAGGGGGGGAAGGAGGCAGGAGGAGGAGGAAGAGGAGGAGGAGGAGGAGGCGGAGGAGGAGGAGGAGAGGAGGGGGAGGACGGGGAGGAGAGAAGGAGGACGAGGACGAGGAGGAGGACGAGGACGAGGAGGAGAGAGGAGGAGGGAGACGAGGAGACGAGGGAGGGAAGAGAGGGAGGAGGGAGGAGAAGGGGGAGGGGGAGGAGGAGGGAGAAAGGAGGAACGGAGGAGGGAGGGAGGAGGGAGAAGGGAGGGGGTGGAGGAAGGAAGAGAAAGGAAGAGGAGGGAGGGGGGAGGAAAGAGGAGGAGGAGGAGGAGGAGGAGGAGGAGGAGGAGGAGGAGGGAGAAGAGGATGAGGAGGAGGAGAAGGAGGAGGAGGATGAGGAGGAAGAGGAGGAAGAGAAAAGGGCGCCAATCCAGCGTAAAACGGGAGGAAGTCTCGGGCGGGAACACTGGATGCCGGCGCCGAGCAAGAACACCGCCTTGAATGAAGAAGGGGGGAAGTCTCGAGCGGGAGCGTTGTTGTTGCTGGGGGGCGGCGCCGATGAGAGAAAGAGTAGCGCGCCAGTCCAAGGTAAAACGGGAGGATGTCTCAAGCGGGAGCGCTGGTTTTGTTGAGACGGCTGCTTTCGGCGGCGAGCAAGAGCACCGGCCCTGAGAAAAAAAGGGGGAACTCTCGAACGGGAGCGTTGTTGTTGTTGGGGGGCTGGTTTTGGCGGTCCCCCAAACCGCTTGAGAGTGAACCTCATTTTCAATGAAAATGCAGTCGGCGCCTCGGCGAGAGCGCCAGGGCGCCTGTAAGGGGTCCAACAGCAATATAACAACAACAACAACAACAACAACAACAACAACAACAACAACAACAACAACAACAACAACAGCAACAGCAACAGCAACAGCAACAGCAACAGCAACAGCAACAACAACAACAATAGCAACAGCAACAGCAACAGCAACATAACAGCAACAAACAACAACGACAACAACAACAACCACAACAACATCATCAACAACAGCAACAAGAACAGCAAAAACAACAATAATAACGACAACGACAACGACAAAGACAACAACGACAACGACGACGACGACAACAACAACAACATCAACCGCAATAGCAACAACAACAGCAGCAGCAGCAACAACAGCAACAACAAGAACAACAATAACGACAACGACAACGACAACGACGACGACGACAACAACGACGACGACGACAACAACAACATCAACCGCAATAGCAACAACAACAGCAGCAGCAACAACAACAACCCACCACCACTACCACCACCACAGCAACCCACCACACCACCACCACCGACTCCACAACCACCACCACCACCGCCACGACCACAAACCATCACACCACCACCACCACCGCCACAACCACCACCTCCACCACCACAACAACCTGCCACCACCACCACCACCACCGCCAACACCACCTCAAACCACCACACCACAACCACCACCACAAACCACCACACCACCACCAATACAACCACCACCACCACATCAACCACACCAACCACAACAACCACCACCACCAACAACAACAACAACCACCGTCACCACCACCATTACCACCTCCACCACCACCTCAGAGAGGCCCCGAGAGACGCCCAACAGGCGCCCAGGAGGTTTCACAAATGCCCCTCAGAAGCCCAGCGGAGGGGCTCGAAGCCCACGCGAACGACGATCAAAAACGGGCCTGGCACAGCGACCTCACGCGGCGGCTTCCGCGGGCCGCCACCGCGGCACGCTGCATTGGAGACGCCGGCGCCAGCCCGAGGAGAGGGAAAGAGGAGGAGGGAAGGAGCAAAAGATAAGGGGGGGCGAAATCCCCGCCATTCCGTCACGGAAGAAAAGGGAGGGGTTTGAACCCCCCCCGCAATCCAGGGTGGGTGGGGGGCCGGTTCCATACCCCCCCAAGCGACCACAGCACGTGTTCTTCCCTAGATCCACCTTTTTTTCCTCCCTCCTCCTCCGTCTGCTCCGCCTCCTCCTCCTCCTCCTCCTCCTCCTCAGCCTCCTCCGGCTCATGTTTTTGCTCCTGTTCCTGTTGTGCCCTGGGGCCCTCGTGACCGAGGAAGGCTCCGAAGCGGCGGACCACGAACGCGGGCGCGCCGCGTCGGGCCCACGTCAGCACACTCCTCCGTCGCGTTCCGTCGCCCTCTGCGTCCTCCGCGGCTCCTCCTCACCCTCTGCCTCCTCCTCCTCCACCACCTCCTCGTCCACCTCCTCCTCCTCCTCGTCCTCCTCCTCCTCCTCCTCGCCCTGTTCCTTCTCCGCGCTCGGCGGGAGGCGCAGAGGCCGCGCTTGCTGCCGGCCAGAGCCGTGGAGCCCGTCCGCACATAGGCGCTGGCCACGCGCCACGCGACGACCGATTCCAGCGCGATGCTAATAACTTGCCAGAGGGCGGCGGCTATCGCCCGGGCTCCGGCGTCGCCGCCAGCCATGACCACCGGCGCGCGGACGGCGACCAAAGCGCTCTCGCCAGCCCGGCCACCGATCTCAGGCGCGCACGGCGTCGCGTTGAGACCGGCGTGTCGGCGGCGTTCCTCCCGGGCCGCCGCGGCCCCGTCGTGGCTGGCGGCGGCGCGCGCCCTGGCAAGGTCGAGGTGGGCGCCCGCAGTGGCGATGCCCAAAGCGATCCGTCTGCCATCGCGGTTGAAGACCACGTCGAGCACGTCGCCCGGCACTTCGCCGCCATGAGCGTCCTCCAGCATCCCCGCGCACAGGCTCTGCAAGCCCCGCTCCTTGACCGCCCCGGGGTCGACGTACTTCGCGGCGAAGCGCAACGGGATGTCCCGCACATCGTTGTACCTTCCGACCGCGCCGCCGCCCACCTCGCAGCTTTCCGCGTGCGCGAGGCCAGCGATCACTCCCAGCAGCGCCCCACATGCACCCCAGCATCACAGGAGAGATGATCTTGTCCGCGGTGCAAAGAAGGCGCTCGCGCAGGGCCATGCGCCGCGCCCCATCTGCCATCGCGCGCACTCCGCGCTGGGGTGCGCAAAGAAAGCTGCCCGCCCCAGGCCCGCCGCCCTGGCGCAGCCGGCCTCTGTGCACCTCTTCTGGGAGCTGGCTGAGGAGGTCCGCCCGCGCCACGAACAGCACGGCGCCCGCGAGCTCCCGCTGAAGGTGCGACGGCGGTTCCTGCTTGAAGTCCAGCTTCCGGTATCCGTGCCGCCAAAGGGGCGACAGCGTCATGAGCTCCGCGCGCGCCTTCCGCAAATCTGCCGCCAAAGCCGGGAAGGCGGCGTCGAGGCTGGCATCCGCGCACACGGGGACTCCGCCGCGCTGCCTCCATAACTGGCGTCGTCACCTGGCAAAGGAGGCTGCCGCGGCGCGCGGGGTAGCCGGGCCAAAGGCCGCCCCGCCGTCTCGAAGGGGTAAATTGCCCAGTCGGCGCTGCAGCGGCGTCGGGCTCACGCCGATGAGGCCCTCCCGTGCCTCCGCCACCGCCTGGTCGCAGTGGGCCAAGGCGCCGGCGCTCCATAGGCACGAGCGCAGGAGGTGCACTGGAGCCCCGACAGTGACACGCCGCAGAATGGCGCCCGCAACCTGACAGCAGAGACCTTTCTCCTGCGCCTGCTTGAGGGTGGCCGCGGCGTCGCGGACCAGGGTAGCAGCCCGGTGGGGAGCCTGCTCTGATGGCCCGAAGCCAGAGGCGAAGGCGCCCTCGCGGTCGCGCCGGTACAACGTGCTCCCAAGCACCGGCAGATCCTGACCGGCTGCCGCCTGCAAGGCCCGCGGCAAGCTCTGGGCGGGCGTCTTTGGCTTCAACCACACAATGGTTCTCAGGGGCGATGTGGAGACCGACCGCAGCAAGCCGCGGCGCAAGGGCGCCCCGCGAAGCCGCCAGGTGGGTCACGAGACCCGCCGCGTAGATGTCGCCGGCGTAGGCGACGATCTTGGTGCCCAGGCCAAGCCGGCGCAGCTCCGCCTGAAGCCCCCCCCTGCACCTCCGCGAGAGCGCCGCGAAAAGGAACGCGCTCAGTGGGCAACCCTGTGGCACCCCAGTGGCCCGTTCGACCCGTGCGACGCTGCCGTCGGCGGTGTCGAAGGCGTTCCGCGCGGGCTTTCCAAGCAGCCTGTCCACGAAGGGGCCGAGCCGAGGCGCTCGCTTGCGCGCGGCCTCTTGCACGGCGCCGTGGCAAACGCTGCCGCAAGCATTCTTAGGTCGACGCTCGAGACGCCCTTGTTCGCCCCGGATTTGAAGTAGATCGCCTTCAAGGCTGCGTCCGCGCCGCCCACCTGCCCCGGCGCGAATTGCATCTCGCCGACAGCGTCGCGCACCTCTCGTCGCTTCTGGTGCAGAAGGGTCCTGAGCGACAAGCGCGCTCACCGCGATTGGCCGGGTGCCGCCGTGACACTTGCGCAACGCGTTCAAGGTCTGACAGGATAATATATTATCCAACTCTGGTGGGGCCGAGCCGTCCAGCCACCTCTTCAGAGCGCGCGCCAAGAGAGAATCGCACGGGTCGTCCCCGGATCCCGCCTGCCACGGGGCGGGTCTGCCTCAATCGCGCCCTGCAGCGGCATGCGCACTGGACTCCCGCAACTCCCGTGACACTGCCGCCTGGAAGTCCTCTTCGGAATGTCGAAACTGACAGCGACGTGCGGCCTCGACTCCCAGGGCCACTCGGAAAGCAGGAGGTTCTGGAGGTCTCCGTCGGCGTCCTCGGAATCCACCAGCGGGGCCCCTCCGCGAAGGCCTGCGAGTAGTTTCCTCCAGGCGCCGTCCTCGACCAGTTCCCAACTGCGCTCTGGCGACAGCCCCTGGTGCGCTCGGCGGGCAGGGCGGACGACGCCAGGAAAGGCTGCGTCCAGGGCGCCCCGCTGCCCAGAACAAGGCCAGGCGATCCGCTGACTGCAGCCCGCTGGTTTGCATTTTGTCGTTTCCCTCCTCTGCCAGCGCCGCCGCGCCGAAAGCCTTTCCAGAGCAAAAGACGGTCGATGAGGAGGAGGGCCTTCCACGCCCGCAGCTGCTCCGCGCGCGTCGGGGCCGCGTCCAATGCTTCGAGCGGCACGAGTTTGGCGGCCTTGCGCTGCGCCTGCAAGCGCTCGGGGACCGCGGCACGCAGGACACCGGCCTTTCGAGCAAGGACAGCGCGTCCACGAAATTCCGCCGGGTCAAGTCGGGGCACGGCCGCGCTGTCGACGGAAGGACCGGCGACGGCGATGCGTGACGTGCTGCCCCAGCCGCGGGTGCTTCTCCTCCGCCTCCGCCATCCCCCTTTCCAACTCCGCAGACAACATCTTCTCCTGCGACGGCCCCTCTGGCAGCAGCTCGTCCGGCCGCGCCTCCAACATCCTCGCCTCGGCCCCCTCCGCCTCCTCTGTCTCCTCTGCCTCCTAATTGCTCCACCACCGCCTCCTCTGCCTCTTCTGCCTCCTCTGCCTCCTGCTCCACCTCCTCCTCCTCCTCCTCCGCCAACTCTTCCGGCCGCAACGTCACCTCCAACTGCTGCCGGGTGGCTGGCCTCTCGGGCGGCGCGTGACCTCATCGTGCCCATTGCCTGCTGAGTGACGTCGGGGCCCCCGTCGGCTTCGACTCGATCGCCGGGGAGCACGCGCTCCACTGCGCACTCCCAATGCCGGCAGTATCTCTGGCGCTCGTGGTCCGCTGCTTTGGCTGCCCTGGCCGAGCCCCCCTCCAGCGTCTCTTGGCGCTCGATGCATGTGGGCCGACGAGCGCCGTGGAGCTGAACAGAAACAACCCAACGGCGACAGCGCGCGGGCTGGTCGAACTCCATGTCCTCAACTCCTCCGTCTGCCCTCGCCCCGCTCCTGCTCCTGGGGCCCTCGCTGGGGTAGTCGAGCGTCGAATCTAACTTCCGGGCGTTCCAGCTGGCGGCCCATGCGGCCGGGGCGACTGGGAGGGCGGCCGCCGCTGGGAATGCGTCCTAGGCGCGAGACGCCCCACCCGCGACGGCCCCTATCGAGGCGGCCGCGGCCAGACAAACCCCGAGGTAGACGAACGCCAGGCCGTAGGTGGAGAACAGGCTCTGGTCGAACGAGTTTCACAGGCGACCAATCGCGGTGTGGATCAGGATGGCGCTGCTGCCCGCGGCGATCAGCACCTCGACGAAGCCGAGGACCCCGAAGGCAAGCGCCCGCATCAGGTCGCCCACCACAAACGCAGCACCCGGCAAGGCGTTCTGATTGCCCCTGTCCAAGACGTCGATAGTCCACACCTCCGCGAAGAACACCAGAATGAGTACAATGAGTGCCCCGCAATGCCCGCGCGCATGCCAGAAGAGGCACCAGGCTTCCGGGGCGATTTCCACCCCGCCGTGCATCGCCGCAGCAGTCGCCCCTTCTCCTTTGCCTGCATCATCTGTACTCGCCGTCGTTGTCCACGTCCACGTCCTCGTCGGCGCCCTCGTCCTCGTCCTAGCCTCCTCCTTCGCCAGCGCCGCGGCGCCCTCGGGCCTCTCCGGCGCCCTCGTCCTCGTCCTCGTCGGCGCCCTGGTCCTCGTCCTGGCCTCCTCCTTCGCCAGCGCCGCGGCGTCCTCGAGCCTCTCTGGCGCCCTCGTCCTCGTCCTCATCGGCGCCCTCGTCCTCGTCTGGGCCTCCTCCTCCGCCAGCGCCTCGGCGTCCTCGGGCCTCTCCGGCGCCCTCGTCATCATCGACGGGCCCCACCGACGCGCCAGCCGGCAGCGCGCGCGGAGCGGACGCGACGGCTGCAACCGGGGCGATCAGCGCCAGCAGCAGCAGCGGCGGTACGGCCGGGGGCGTGGACATGGGTCTCCCTTCATCTCGATTCCCTCCTCTCGCTGTACGGTGCCCTGGATCCGGAGCCATGGCGAAGCCGCGGGCCGCGGGCGGCGGGGGGCGCGGGGGAGGGGTCCTGCTCCTGCTCCTGCTCCTGCTCCTGCTCCTGCTCCTCCGCCTCCCAGGGAATCGTCGATCTGGAACCGGCGACACTCGGACTTGGGCCCGCATTACCTTGGGCGCAGCCCTCCTCGTGAATCCTGGTGCGGGGGGAACGTTAAGTTGTCAAGGGCGTAACGGCTCGAGCTGAAGCTTACACAATTCGCTCCAGGTTTGCCTGGATCGGAAGTGGGGGTGAGATCGCGGTGGAACGGAGAGCCCCCCAATCCATTGGGAAATCTGTTTCGGTTTCGTGTTCGTATCGTGCGTGCGAGCGAAGCGAAGCTGCGTGGGCGCAAGAGAAGACTGATGCCGCTGTGCCTAGGGGCTGATGAACCAATTGACCGCCCCTCCCCACCCAGCGCGCGGTGGCTGGGGGTATCCCGTCGGCGGCCAGTCGGGGTCCCGTCGGTGGCCCGTCGGTGTCCCGTCGGTGTCCCGTCGGTGTCCCGTCGGTGTCCCGTCGGTGTCCCGTCGGTGTCCAGTTGGTGTCTCGTCGGTGTCCCGTCGGTGACCCGTCGGTGACGCGCCCGTGTCCCGTTGGTGTCCCGTCGTTGTCCCGTCGGCGGCCCGTCGGTGTCCCCTCGGTGTCCTGTCTGTGTCCCGCCGTGGTGACCCGTCGGTGACGCGCCCGTGTCCCGTTGGTGTCCCGTCGTTGTCCCGTCGGCGGCCCGTCGGTGTCCCGTCGGTGTCCCGTCGGTGTCCCGTCGGTGTCCCCTCGGTGTTCCGCCGGTATCCCGTCGGTGTCCAGTTGGTGTCCCGTCGGTGTCCCGTGGTGAGATCGATAGTGAGACCGATAGTGAGATCGATAACAAGAGAAGAGCGATCGTGAAATCGATCGTGAGATCAAGTCTGAGATCGATCGTGAGATCGATAGTGAGATCCATTGGTGTCCCGATGGTGTCCCCTGGTGTCCCGTCGGTGTCCCGCGGGTGTCCCATCGGTGTCCTGTCGTGTCTCCTGGTGGGATCGGTTGTGAGACCGACAGTGAGATCGATAGCGAAAGTGGTGCTCCGATGGTGTCCCGATGGGTGTCCCTATGGGTGTCCTGGTGGTGTTTCGAGGGTGTCTCGATGGTGTCGTGGTGGTGCCCATGGGGAGACATGGGGAGATTTGGGGGGGTGCAGAGAACCCCGTACGCCAAACTGTTCTCGGTGTCCACACCACGGGCCACGGGATCGACTGTGGTATGGAGGAGATGCTGTCCCGTCGGTGTCCCGAATGGTGTGGTGTCCCGGTTGGTGTCCTGATGGTGTCCGATAGACACACACACACACATCCGGCCAGGCGATGCCACTTGTGGCCGCGAGCGCCCCGAGGCTAAGCAAATGCCACCACCCTGCCACTTCTGACCGCGAGCGCCCAGAGGCCAAATAAGTGGCACCACGGGCGCGGGGACGAGGAAACCTGAATTCGAAGCTTCGGGCGAATTCGACAGTGAGATCGGCAGTGAGATCACCACGCGTCGTCGCCAACTCGAGAGCGCATCACCAGCATGGTCATCATCACAGTCATCGCAGTTGCCATCCTGTGGTTCTTTCCACCCCACATCCTCCTTATCACCCGAAGGGTGGTCGTATAGGCATCTTTTCGATTACCAAAAACTCGTCGGATGTATGCAGACTTATCTAGACCTACTTCAACCTATCTATATTGGTCCCTTGGGACTCGGGAGGGACCTCGAAGCTCGAGGATCGAGGTTCGAAGCTTCTTGGCTCTCTGGGGGCCCTGCTCGTCGCCACGGCTGGACTTCAATCGAAAAACTAGTGCGTTTGAACTCCGGGATTCTGCCGGGGACTCGTTTCGACCGTCTCTGGGCCCGGGAGGCGTGGCCCTCGTCGTGGCTCCTGGTTAGGGCAGAACGTTCAAGGTTCGAGGCTCAAGGTGTTCGAGTGTTCTCGTCGGCTCTCGGTCCTCCAGCCTCGGGGTGCCCTCCAGCAGCTGCGCGTCGCCGAAGAACGTGCAGTGTGTGCCCGGATCGTCCCGAACGGCGAAGCGAATTGTGCACAAGGAAACCCGATGAGCGGGACGAGACGAGGAGCGGCCGCGGGAGAGAGTGGAACAGCAGGCTGCGCCGACAGAACGTGCAATTCTTGTCGCGTGGTGGTGACTTCACGGGCATGCACGGGTTACGGATCTGTGGATCTGGCGCGTGGGCGCAAGATCGACGGATCGGAGAGAGTACCCGCTGAAGCCTGAGCTGCTGCCGTCCCATTGTTGTCGACGGAGCGCGCCGACTCTGCACGGAAGCGAGACCCGCAGCCACGCCCGAATCCATGACTCTGCTCTTCCTCGAGTCTGGGGGGGAGGGCCCGGCTCAGGGGGAACATCGAACTGGAATCGGCGATACGTCGCAGATAGGTCGGCGACAGGCCGCCGATAGCGAGTTCGCGCGATCCCAGGCGGCGAGGGCAAATTATAGGGCCCCTCTTGGCAGTCAGTGGGCGATTGGGGGACGATGCGTCCCAGCCTGAGGCGATCCCCTCCTAACGTTGCCCACTGGTTTTCGGGGCATCACTCAACTCTCCAGCGGCGGTTCGGCACATCCCGGGCACCCCTGGAACGCTCTCGGCGAGACGCAGTCGCTGGAGAATATCCCGAGCCTCGAAAAGCGTCGGAAGCCGACGAAAACGCATTGCCTCTGACTGGGAGGGCGTCTCAGAAGGCTGAACGGCTTCTGTGAAGCCCCGCCGCCCTCCTTAGGTCACCAAATTTCGCGCATCGCGCCCCGCGATGCGCAGTTGTCTTCGCGCCCTCGCGCCACCGCGCTGGAGAAAGGCGCCTCTCCAACCCAAGCAGCGAAGCGCGGTTATCTTCGCGCCTCTGGGGGTGACCTAGCCTTTCGAGAAGGCCTGCCCCATTCAGGGAGACGTGAGACTCGGGTTCGGGGACTCAGGTTGGCCTGGCGAGGACGTCAAGGAAACGACGAGACCCAGGCTGAAACTTGACGCGAGCTCCCGCTGCAAACATCCCACGATAACTGGACCGTCAAAACACAGGACGGGCTCGTCAGCAAAAAGTCGGCAAACCGGAGCTTTGGTGAGCTCGAATCTGACGTTTTCCAGGCCCCTCTCACATCCTCTCACTGCCCCCCCCTCGACGCGCCGCTGAGCCTGTGCCACTCGTCCCGCGCCCCGCAGTGCAGCACCTGGCACCAGCTGCGGGAGAACCTCGGGGCACCCAGGGAGGCGGAAGCTGGGCACTGCTCGATGCTCCTCAGAATGTACGTTGGCGCCAGAATTAGAGGCCTCCCAGATGGGGTCCGAGTAAATGGGGTCGGAGGATCGCGCCGTATCGCCAATGGATCGGCGATGCGTCGGCGACGTCGGTGATGCGTCGGCGACGTCGGCGTGGAGAAACATTGGGTTCCACATCGAGCCGCATCGCCGATGCATCGGCGATGCAGCGCGATCCTCTGACCAGATCTACTCGGACCCCAGCTGGGAGGCCCAGAAACATGTGCCTGCCCACCGAAGCCCTCGAACACGGCACAGGCGGCGCAGTGAGGGCCAGCACAGGCTGCATGTCTTCGGCGGAGCTGAACGGGGCCAACACGCAGTGGGCCAGAGAGTCAAGCGGCTGAAAAAAAAACCTCTTTGGGCTCAAGGACGGCTCGGGTTTTCGGGCCGCTCCGTGGGCCCATGTCGTGGAGCCCGTTCGTGGCCCAGGTTCGCCGTGGCCAGGAAAGCCCCCCTCCCCTTCCCGGGCCAGCCCTCCCCGTGGCAGCACGGCGACTGCAACGCACGTCCTCGGGCTCATCGGTAGGCACCGCTCCTGGGCCTCCGCAGGCGCCCACTTTGGCGGCCAAGCCTGGCTTACGCGCAATCAGTCAGCCGATGGTATCGGCTTCCCGACGGCGCGGATCGTCCCATGTGTTGGAAGACTCGAGGCCAACGGCAGCGCTTAACCTGGTTGAACGCCCACACTGGGTGGAGGGGAAGAAAACGGGGACCATGGCCAAGACTGCACTCCGAAACGTCGTGTCTTGTATCGGTATGAATCGTGGATCATCCTCGCGGATGGGCGACGACCGGCAGCGGCATGCGGTATGACCAAGATCGGCACCGACAAGATCCCATGGGACGCACAAACCATACGAATGCTATGCGTCCTCTTTGGAGGCTCTGGTCCGACCCAAGCGGAGCTGATACTGGAGGATTTCTCGGCGCGCGCGCCTCGCCACTGGGGGAGCGACGAACACATAGTATTAGTATGTTTGGGCGACGCCGACTCCCCCTTCCCGAAGCCAGGCCAGGACGCCAGCTGTACGCGTGCACCGACCTTGGCGAGAAAGGGTCGACCCTGGAGCGGTGCGCACACCCTGGCCAGCTTCGGCAGGGAGCCACACGAGCGACGAAAAGAAAGGGGTCTTGCGCGGGACAGCATCGCGACCTTACGCGGTGGCTTACGCGGGCCGCCAGCGCGGCACGCCACGTTCATTGGAAGCGAGGGCGAGGGCACCTACGCGCTGCCCTACGCGGGGAGCTTGCGCGCCAATGTCGGCGCATTCGAACCCGTTTCTTCTGCGCCGCTCGTATGCACGCCGATCCTAGGCCCAGGATTGGCCGGGCCAAGGTCGGGGCAGATGAAAATGTGTTATCCCCCGAGATTAGGGGAAGAAACAGCGGCGTGAGCACGGTGAGCTCTCGGAGGTCCGCGCGGATTTCTTGAATTTTGCGCTGAAGCCCTTCAATGCCGCGCGGAGCGCGCCAGGGGTGGCGACGGAGGCGCCGCCGGGGGGTTCCAGCGCAGATGCAGGAAATCCGCGCGGACCTCTGAAAGTTTGTGTTTATGCCGCTGTTTCCTCTTCGATTGGCGATCGACGTTTTATCCATGCCTCTGCTCGTGCCCCAACCACCATAGGGCCAGTGTGGGGGCATGGACAAGAATATTGCCCCAGGCGTCGAGCTGCTCATCCGTACCCTGATCCTCCTGGCGCCCAATGGGAGGCAGCAGCAGCAGCATGGGTATGGAACGCATGCCCATCGCCGATTCATGGATGTACGGTTGGCGTTTCAAAGAAGATAGTATGAAAGAAAAAATCGCCGAAAAGGGCGCCATCCTTGTGGGGGACCCCTCTGCGCACGTTATCCCCCCGCCGGGGCTTCTTCGGGGCACGGTATCCCCAAGGTGGGGGATAGCGTTAGCAAGCGGGCCCGCGGAGCCACATCTAGAAGAAAAACGGCATAGACATACACTTTCGACGGTCCGCGCGGATTTCTTGGATCTGCGCTCGACCCCCTCCCTGGCGCGCGGAGCGCGCCAGAGGTGGCGCCGCCAGGGGGGGGCAAGCGCAGATCCAAGAAATCCGCGCGGTACGTCGACCATTTGGTTAGGCAATTCCTTCTTCTTCTTCTTCGAACATCGCACGCTGGCTTCCCAACGCCAACCGTATGTTTATGCCCGCTTGTCTTCCTTCGCGTGAAGCCTCACGTGGAGCGAGCGCGCCGCCGCGTCGCCGAGAGGGAAGCAGCGCGCCACCGCGGCGTCGCACTGCCTGCGCTCCGAGGCAATGTGCGCCGGGTAGCAGGCATCCGGCGCCTGATGGCAACTCATGGGAGCCTCCCTTACCATCTTGATGTTGGCTCTTGCGAATCGACGCTGAACTACGCCAGTCGACGCTAATGCACTCTCAAGACGGCAACACCAGGACATACAAGGCTTCCATAATTTGCTACCGAACGGCGCCTGGCTGTTGCACACGCCGAACATGTCGCAGTAGTCTGCGAGGCAGGTGGCGCCGTCCTTGACGGCGCGACCAGGGGGATATCAGGAGGCAGCTCTTGTCAGAACGAAGGAAGGCTAATAAGCTCGATTGAGGGGCCATCGAACCAGATGAAGCTCGGGACTCAGCCCGATTAAGCAAGATTGCGCCGGACTCAACAGGATTATGCCGGATGGGACCAGAATCTGCCGGATTCGGCCGGTTTTCGACTGCGGAAATAAGGCACTGATTCGAAATTGAACCTGCCAAGAACTGCATCCTAAATGATCGGTTGGTCAACCGTGAGGTAACAAACCATGCGGCGACCTTGAAATCCAGAGAGAGATAGAAAGAGAGAGAGAGAGAGAGAAATACTGTTCGCTGCAATCCCACCAGCCCTCTGAACATAGGTGGTTTAACGAGTTTTGCCTTCTCTCTGTCAACATCCCTCCCTCCCCTGCTCGGGGGAGGGGTTTATCACTGTTCCCTATTGATCTACACTCCCTCCCCCACCCAGCCGGCAGCCAACCCAGAACACTGAGGACACCATGACGCCCCCCCCCCCCAGCCATGCCTGTCAAAAAACAATACAAAACGCACTCTGCCTCCACATTTGGAGCATGCGCGGCGATGAGCCCCCCCCACCATCCCTGTCAACACAAAGTACTCTCTGGGGCAAAGTCTGGAGTCATGCTCGTGAGGCCCACGGACACTTTGTATCGTTTTTGGCAGGGACGGCGGGGGTGTCACCATATTGCCTGCTGCGCGCAGGGCTGCCATCCCTGACACAAAGGCGAAGAAGCCAACCATATCAAATTGTGAATAACGCAATTGTTGACATCGTCTTCGGTGGACCTCCTTATGGGACACGAAACGTGTGAGGGGTGCGCCAACATGGGCGCGGTTGTGGCATGCGAGCGCAGCCACTGGGGCCTTCGGTGGAGCTCCCTCTGGGGCCACGAAACGTGTGAGGGGTGTGCCGACATGGGTGCGACCGCAGCCACTGGGGCCTTCGGTGGAGCTCCCTATGGGGCCACGAAACGTGTGAGGGGTGTGCCGGCATGGGTGCGGCGGTGTCATGCGAGCGCAGCCATTGGGGCCTTCGGTGGAGCTGCGTATGGGACCACGAAACGCGTGAGGGGTGTACCGAAACGGGTGCGGCGGTTTCATGCGAGTTCAACCACTGGGGCCTTCAGAAGAAATCCCGATGGGGCCACGAAACGTGTGAGAGGTGTGCCAAAATTGGTGCGGCGATGTCATTCGAGCGCAGCCACTGGGGCCTTCGGTGGAAATCCCGATGGGGCCACGAAACGTGTGAGGGGTGTGCAAACATGGGCGCGGCGGTGTCATGCGAGCGCAACCACTGGGGCCTTCGGTAGAGCTCCCTATACGGCCACGAAACGTGTGAGGGATGTGCCGAAATTGGTGCGGCGGTTTCATGCGAGCGCAACCACTGGGGCCTTCGGTGGAGCTCCCTATGGGGCCACGAAATGTGTGAGGGGTGTGCCGACATGGGGGCGGTGGTTTCATGCGACCGCAGCCACTGCGGCCTTCGGTGGAGCTCCCTCTGGGGCCACGAAACGTGTGAGGGGTGTGCCAACATTGGTGCGGCGGTGTCATGCGAGCGCAACCACTGGGGCCGTCGGTGGAACTCCCGATGGGGCCACGAAGCGTGTGATGGGGTGTGCCGACATGGGTGCGGCGGTGTCATGCGAGCGCAACCGCTGGGGCCTTCGGTGCAGCTCCGCATGGGCGACGAAACGTGTGAGGGGTGTGCAGACATGGGTGCGGCGGTGTCATTCGAGCGCAGCCATTGGGGCCTTCGGTGGAGCTCCCCAAGGGCCCACGAAACGTGCGAGGGGTGTGCCAAAACAGAAACATGCGGAGGGCAGAGGCAAAGTGGGGGCAGCGGGAGGAAGAAGAGTGGGAACGCGGAGCGCTGTCTGTTCAAAACGAAGACCCAACACCACAGGATGGTTGGGAACTAACAACATGCACCTCGCGGCTAAATCTGGATCATGCGCGACCGCCCCGCGATCACGGTGCAGTGGTGGCGTATGGCGCAGGCCCACCAGACACATGATGGGCATTGATGTTCGACGAGGATGGTGGGGGCCGACATGTTTCCCGATGTGTGCTGTCACGTGCGCAGGCGCACCTGACACACTCTGCACGTGCCCCGAACGCACCTGGCGCGGCTGGAGTATGCGGCACACCTGGCGCACGGGGAGGCACGTGGAGCATCTGGCGCACCAAGCGTGCCTGGCACGTTCGGGCCCCAGGGGTGCCTGGCGCGCGTGGCGCGCCTGGCGCGCGTGGCGCACCTCGCCACAGCGTCGCGCACATAAGCTCGGCGCAGATCCAAGAAATCGGCGAGGAGCTGAACAAGTTTATGCTTTTTCAATTTGATCTTCTTCGACGCGCGGCCGGGGGACCCCAGGCACCGGAGACATCCTCGGAGAGCGACCCAAGGCCGTGCCGCGTGGTCACCCCGAACTCGGGGGCTGCCAAAGGTACCCTTGACCCAAGGCGCCCCCCAGCTTCTCGCTCCACTCTGGAGCACCAGGGGACCCCTGGACCTCGCGAGGGGTGCTCTGGAGGCCGTCTGGGCCACTTCTATCGGCGGCGAGCGAGGGAGGGAAGTGAGAATGAGAAGGCCTTCTCAGAAGACGGCGGGGCTTCTCAAAAGGCCTCGGGCCTTCTGAGAGGCGTTCTGTGCCTCAGGGGAAGGCTTGGAAAACTCCTCGGAAGGCCAGGGACTTCCGAGCCTTCCGAGAGGGCCCGCCCCTTCCCACTTCCTCCCAGGCTCGCCACCGTGGGGCGGCGAGATCTGCACATGCCACTGCTCCCTGGCCAGGCCCATCCAGAACCCACCAGTGGTGTACACGCCACGCCCTCCCGGCGTGATCAGGAGGGCGTATACGCAGCTCCTGGGCCCAGGGAGTGGGGGAGTCGTCGGGCGTTGCCAGAGCGGGCTCGCCGCCGACTTCCAGCAACGCCCGACGAGTTCCCGCTGACTCGCCGCGCGGCGCGGTCACCGCAACGTCTGGGGGGGCCCCCGCGGAGGCCCAGGGGCGGGGCGAGGGGGGCGTCCTTCGGAGGAGCCCGGGGGGAGGGGGACCCCTGGAGAGGGGGGGATGTCTCTGAAGGGGCCCAGGGCACACACGCACACACGCACACACGCACACACGCACACACGCACACACGCACACACGCACACACGCACACACACACACGCACACACGCACACACGCACACACGCACACACGCACACACGCACACACGCACACACGCACACACGCACACGCACGCACACACGCACACACGCACACACACACACACACACACACACACACGCACAAAACAGATGGGCACAGATCCCAGGATTCACCCTATGTTCTATGTTTTCTCGGTGTTCGTCTTCCCCTCCGCTTCCCCTAGGTTCCATATTTTCCTGGGGCTCGACGATTCTTAGTGTCTGTGCTTCTGTTCCCTCCCGAAGTGCTTCCAGGGGGCCATCCTGTCTGCTCGGAAGGCTGACCCCCCTCCCTTTATGTGGCAACTCATGGGGTCCTCGCATACCATCTTGTTGGCTCTTGCGAGTCGACGCTCGTCGACGCTCATCGACGCGAAATCGGCGCATCCCATCGAGTACCGAGCGCCAATCGACGGCAATGCGCTCCGGAGACGGAATTGCGAGGGTACACAAGGCTCCCATGATTTGCTACCGAACCCCCCTCGTCGTGCTCCCTCCCCCAGGGGACGTTGGCGGCGCGCACAGGGGGGTAAGGCTTCTTAGGAAGCTGCTTCTTAGAAGGCGCCGGCCCTGCATCTACAGAGAAGGCCCGCGCCTTCTAAGAAGCAGCATCCTTCCAAGCAGCCTTCCCTCCTCCCCTGCCCCCCTCTGCGCGTGGCTGATTCTGAACCCCCCTCGCCGTGCCCCCTCCCTCAGCGGACGGAAGCAACGCAAGATTAACCTTTCTGCCGAAGAGGGCGCCTGCCCTGTGATGGCTGGGAAATCAACACACGTCAAGCTCTTGCCGTGACGGCCGCGGCGTCGGTTTCTGACACCGCGTGGATCGCTCAACCTTGAACGTTCGGCGGCTTGCCAACCGCCAAATCGTTCCATACATGGTCCACAGCTCCGGCCACACTATATGATCCAGGGTTATGGCCCCCCCCCCACCAATGCACATGGGATGGTCTGCCCCCCCCGCTGGATGGGTACGCCGTGAGCCTCGCGAAGGCCACGCGAATGGGATCGGCCCCCCCACCTGTGGCCGTGGCCCTGTGGGTGTGGCGTGGTGGTGGGTGCCTGTGCCTCCCCCCCGCCCCCTGTGGGTGTAGGGTGGCGCGTCGTCGTCGTCGTCGTCGTCGTCGTCGTCGTCCCGTCTGGTGGGGGGTCTGTGGAACCCTGGGACCCCTCCGATCGAACCCTCGACCCGGGATCCAGACATTGGCCGGTTCTGGGCCACCGGCGGCGCTCGGCCTTTGAGCGCCCGCGGCGGGGCCGCCGCCGCGTCGACGGCGCGACACTGCCAGAGCTCCGCGTGGGGGCGCTCTGGGCATAGACCCTCCAGCCGACCCCAGGACCCGAGACCCCGGATGTCCTGACGTTTTGTCATGCGGCATGACAAAACGTCATGACTCATGCCTCATGCCAGGGATGTCCGGACCCCCCTGGCATGACTCCGGACCCCTCATGCCATGAAACGGCATGACGTTCGGACCTCCCTGGCATGACTCATGCCAGGGAGGTCCGAACCCCTTCCCAGGAACAGATATTCATTCAGAGTCGTTTTCTGACGGCCCCGAGGCCAGGCGAGGCACCCCAGAGGCCGAGAACAGCGGAAAACCGACCGCGGTGACTTGTCCACCACGCGAGAGGGTCTGGGAACGGCGCCCCCACCCACGGCGGAGAAGCCTGCCTTGTAGGGTACCACCCCCCGCGCCCGCCAGCTTCTTCATGCGCCGCCCACTGTCCTGGCTCGGGTGGAACGGGCAGCCCGCTGGCCATTCGTAGCCCTGTCGAGGGGGCACAACAGTTAGGTCACGTCGCGCATCGCACCCCGCGATGCGCGACGCGCGATTATCTTCGCGCCCCCGCGCTGGCCTCTCGGAGAGGGGCAGCCGCCCTGGCACAGACCGCGACGCGCGAATGAGCATCGAGCTGAAATCGGCGATAAGTCGCGGATGTATCGGCGACGGATCTTGGGCGGGGTGGGGCAATCGGGCCCCTATCTGCGATAGATAGGCGGGGGTCGATCCATTCCCCCCTCAGCCCCCAGCCAGTCCCCCCGTGCCGTTGACCTGTTGACCCAGCTCTGGTGGGCAAGCACATGTGATCTCTGCCCCTGCTGGTCAAATTTCTGGAAAGCTAAGCTGGCCAGGGCTGAGAAGTCGAGGGACGCCTGCGGGCAAGTGACCCCCCGCGGGGGCGTGCGATGCCCCAGCTCGGCGACTCCGACGGGTGCGATTTGCAACCCACCAAACCCTGGTGGGCGGGCGAAAACCGCGACTGAGTTCCCATTCGTGCCGACGAGAGCAACGTGGTGCCCCCGAAACCCCAACGGCGCAAGTCTCGACCCAAACCCCGCCGCAACCAGGCCCCCGATGGCGAAACACCGCGCGGTCCTGTGCAGGGTGGGGCTGCCGGGCCCGTGTCGGCGATAGAGGGGGGAGCAGGGGCCGATCCTTCCCCTGGCTTTTGGGCAATAACTCGGCTCTCCGGCGGCCGTTGGGCACGATTCAGGCACCACGGGAACGCTCTCGGCGAGGCTCATCTGCTGGAGAGCATCCCGAGATTGGGAAATCGCCGAGAAGCCGAGGAAAACTTCCGACAACTTCGAACCTCGAATCCGAAACGTCCCCCCCTGAACGCTTGCCTCCCACATGGGTTCCGGATAGATGGGATCGGAAGATCGCGCCACATCGCGGATACATTGCCGATGTATTGGCGACGTGGCAAGTCGAGGTCCGATCGCGCGCGGAGGCCGCACGCACCCCACAACTGGAGACGGCGTCGGGAAATATGTCGTGGAGCACGAACCTCTTGACAACGAAAGTTGGTGGCAAGCGACTGCAAGGTCATAGAACAGACGAAAGTACCTTCGAACTTTGCTAAGTCCTTATGATACCGACGTGGCGCGCGTGCTACCCAAATAGTGGTCTACATGATCAGTCCAAATTGTCCTTGGGCGCCCCCGTGGTCGCGTGGCCTGTCCCAGAGAGGAAGACATTTCATTGCGTCTTTGGCCAAGATAGATCACCTTGAAGTATTGTGCATGAGACACCACTGCGTTCTGTCAACTATTTGCAGCCAGTCAAATACGCGACGCTGCGACAGAGCATTTCGATGTCTACACCGTCGGCCTGCGTTCTCTCAATATTCCTCTGGCCGCTTCCAGAAGTGTCTACTTTGCGCAGAATGGCGGACCTCGCAGAGGTAATCTTCATGGTCTGCTGCTGCGCAGGCGCGCGCGGAGCGTGCCAGCGCGCGGCTGCGGGCGAGACAGCGCTGTCGAAGAGACGAAAGGGCAACTCGAAAACATTGCCGCTGGCCAAGGCTGCCAAGGCTTCCTGGTTCGCGCGGTACTTCGCCCGCGCGCGCTCTGAGCGATGTTCATGCTGGCCCTATCCAGTGCGTTTCCGGACAACTTGCGCCTCGGATATTTGCGCATGTCAGTGCCGAACATTGCCAGGCAACTCTGCTCGCCGAAAAGCACCGCCAATGCATCCGCGGCCATGGAGTACCGGGGGTCGTTCGTGAACACTTTGTCTTTGCTTGCGTTCAGCGCCAGCCCGCGTCTCAGCGGCTCTATCCGCGCACCGGAGACCCACAAGTCGTTCTGGCCCCCCGACGTCAACGCCACTCCCGCGAGCCCGGCCCATGAATCGCCTCACGGTGCGTTCTAGACTCTAGGCACCGTTGACCGTTGAATTAGAGCGACGGCAACGCGCCCCCCTGCTCGACGTCCCCGGTGACCTCGAAAAGCCGGCTGCCATTGGCGCCCCCGCGTTGGCTGCGGCGCATGTCAGAAAGAAGCCGGGCGCAGTCCGCCGGGGCACTCGGCTCGCCCAGCGCGTTGAACAGAAGCGGGCGCTCAACGCGGTCGAAGGCCTTGGCGGAGCCGAGGCTGACCACCCAATGCGGTCGCCCCCACTCGCACGATTTGCAACTGAGCTCTTCCAGGACAATGAAGGCGCCATCAACTGATTTCCCTGGGCGAAAGCCGCATCGGCCGGAGAGCTGTTTCTTTCTCGAATTTGGGTTGAGGACATTGGAAGAGTAGACGTGCAAGTGATTGGTGCGTTATTCGCAAAATCGCCACTTCGCGTTTGCTCCCGCCCTGCGGAAGCGCGGCGAGCAGAGCCCCCCGCCAGTCTGGGTGCGCGGCTCCAGCAATCATCGCAAAATTCGAACATCCAGCGCAGGTGAAAGCAGGCCGCGCCCGCAACAGACGACAAGTTCCAAAGTGGCCCCGGCTGAATCTGAACATCTGCCCCGGCGCAGTTTCCGAAGTGCGAAGTGCAATTCGCCCGCGGAGAACCGCGGGATGCCGCGCGGACCTCGATCGCGCATCTCTCCCAGCCATCTCCTTCTCTCCTCGGGCACGTCATCGTCCAGAATTTCGCGCAAAGAACTCTTGAAATCGTCGCTGCCGATCGGGCAGTGCACTTTCGGCCGGGCCGGGCGCGCGTGGATCTCCGGCAGCTTCTCCAAGCCTTGAAGCTCACGCAACATCTCCACAGCTCACGAAACAACCTTGTCAACGTGATCTCTGCTGTCCCCGGCTGATCAGACTGGACAGTTTACGGCGCTCTGCCGGCCAACTGCATGTGCGCCGTTGATGTCGCAGTTACTGGGGCGCCTCGCCATTCCAAGGTGCGGTTTTCGCTCTGCGCGGCTCGCCCGCCGCGCGAACTGCTGCTGGCGCCGCGAGAACCCGTTCGACCTCGCAAAGCGCGTCGCGAATTGACGTGGTCACGCGAAAAATTGCGAACCCAGAAAACTTGACACGAGCAGCATTTTGACCCAGAGTTGCAGCCCGCCGCTTTCCCTGGCAATTTCGAGCGGCACGTCGGAGGCACAACTTGGAAGCGCGCGCTAGCACTCGCAACTCGGCGATCAGATCTGAGGTTAAGGTCGTCTACCGGGCGGCACGCCGCGCATAAAACAGCGATTGCTAAGTAGTTGCGCAAGACCGATTCGCCGCTTCAGCCCAATATTGGAATGGTACGTCTACTGAACATCGCGCGAATCGTTAGCTGAGTCGTCCATGATCCAGCAACTAAGTTGTGTTCCAACAAGAAATTACACAAAAAGACACCGCCCATGTCCAACAGAAAACTTGCGCGTTGAGGTCTCCAGCCGCGAGAAATCTCTCGTGGCATCGTCTCGCCTGGCGTGCTTCGGAGGCCATCTGAGCGTACGTAGCTACCCAAGACGATGCCCAGCGCGCGGCAAGCACACGCTCAGAACTATCAGCTTTTGGAGTCCGGTATTCATGTCAACGGCAAGCACCCTGCTCCCGAAACTTCAGCAATCCACCGCAGACTAAGCATGTCCACGATGAACATGCACAACTACACCAAAAAACTTATACTCGGAAAATTGCGCTACGAACCGGTGCCATCCGACAAACTCGTGGTCAGCCGTGCGCGCGTGGATTCAGTCAGGTACACAAAATCCCATGAAACATCGCCCACGTCGGCTAATTACTAAGCTTGCCTATCATGCGTATGTACACGAGCCCGCATACTTCACACATCAACAGTGCGCAAGTTTCCAAATTCAGTATCGTCACCCGTCATGTCGATGAAGGCTGCGCTGCGTCTACTTGCTCTCGGTCGGTACTGTCCCTAGGCTGTCCAAGACGATGCCTTGGCCTTGCTCCTACCTTTTTCCTGCCCCTTTCTTTTTCGATTGGGCATTTTTTGCGACCTTCTCGTAAGCCTTGGCGATAGTATCCTCCAACTCCTGGGCCTGGAAATTCTCTTTCCAGCCGTCCCCGAAGTCGACCTCGAACGTGTCCCTGGAGACCCGGGGCGACAACACATTGTCCGTGCCGAGGTACAGGATAGCACGATCAAAATCCAAGTATAAAACAAATCTCGACCAACCCCACTGTACGGGAACCTTCTTCACGGAGAAAGCGAACGACTCCGGCAGACGCTCCTCCGAAGGACTGTCAATTTTAGCCCACATGCGACTGCCATTTCATTCATGGCCGCTGTCTCCTATCTTTTTGGATCGCCCTGGCCCATTCTGCTTCTGTCGGGGACAGCGCAAACAAAATATCAATGAATGCTTCTTTCGTGTGCACTGCAACCGGGAGAGGCCCCCCATCCGCAGAGAGCGTGTTGCACAGCCATTTCCAGGCATCAGCCTCGCTCCATTGACCACCGAGGCCACCGAAGACAGCTGTGAACGAATTGTGGTTGCGTTTCCCATTGGCACCCTTTGCGATAAACTCAGCCTCAAGATCGTTGTGAGCGTGGGGTTTCGCCGCTCCCGAAACCAAACTTGCACACGAGACGCCCCTCGACAGAGCGGTATGTAGATTCTCCATTTTGACTTTCTGAGCCTGCATTTCCGATTCCACGTCACCGAAATTAGCGTCTACTTCTGAACTGAGATTGTCGAATTTCGACTAGAACGAACGACATCACCCCCTGTAGAATACGAACATCAGAATTAAGTGGTTTCGAACTCATAGCAAATAATTGTGCAATCGACTTGTCTGTGGCACTCTCGCTGACTCATTCCCTTGCCATCTCATCCTAGATATCGGATGCTGCCTCTGCGCCGGGCCCGGGCGCTGCCGCTGCTCCAATGTCGTCCGTGATGCTGTCCATCTCGTGCAACAGGCTGGACAAGCGAGCTTTCTTATCCTGACGAATCGGCGTGGTCGGCACAAGCGATGCCAGTGCAGATGCACCCGTTGACGCCTCGCCTCCACGCACTGGAGTGCCTGGCTGCCGAGAGCTCGCCAGCATAATGAGGCCAGATGTAAAAGGTAAATGGCAAAATATTGCAGGGTAAGGGGATGTATGTCGGGACCTCTGAATGACCTCGGCCTTGAGCCAAAATGGCTACGGCGTGCATCAAATCAAATCGGGCTCCACATCGAGCCGCATCGCCGATGCGTCGCGATCCTCCGACCCCTCATGCTCTGGTGAGGCCTGACTGGGCCAGTCCCCCCTATAGTTCACCCTGATGAGCATCGTTTAACCGATCCCTTCCCCCACTGGGGTGGCCTGCCTTGGTCGCACTGTCCGATTTACCTCCTTAGAAAGGGATATGTGCTGTTCCCATCGGGTTTCGCGGGGCCTGTCCCCAATCGGGGGGTGGGATGGTGGAGCTGAGATACCAGGGCCCAATGGGGATGGGGATCAGTTAGACGACGCTGACCCTCACCTGGGACCCCGTCGCCGACCGCACCTCCCGCTCCAGAGACTCGCGCACGAGCCGCGACACGGCCAGGTCGCAGCCCCCAGGGCGGCCCGCCACGGCCGCGGCGGCCGTCCCGGCGAGGATCAGCATGCGTGGCATTGCTCCGGCGGGGTCGAGATCGGGAGGGGGAGGCACGCACCAAAATGACGGCGGCTCGGGCCGGCGAGGACGGGGAAGAGGGGGAGGGGAAGGAGGAGGGGAATGAGGAGCAGCAGGGAGGAGGTAGCCGTGAGGGGGAGGGCCGCTCGAAGTACGGCGGCAAGTTCGTGTCGTGACGATCCCAACGTCGGTTTCGGACACCGCGTGGCACGGCTCCATCTTTGACGATCGGCAGAGTCCCGATGGCGCCAGATCGCTCGACACTGCCGGCAGATTCTGGGCCTCTGGCTGCGCTCAACCCAGACCCCCCGACGTCATGATCTTTTCCAGCGTCTGCCCCCCAAAGGCCTCGACTCGTCCCCCAGGACCTGGCAAGGGCCCTCCGGGGCCGAGAGTGCCGAGAACCTTCCGTCGTGCTCTGTTCACGACTCGAAGGGGCCTGGGGAACCCGGGGCGCCCGCGCTGGGGCCGCCGCCGCGTCGGCGCGACGCGAGCCTGCCGTGCGTAGGCGGCCGAATCCCGGACGGACCCTGCGCTCCGAGGTCGCCCCCGTGCCACGGCGCGGCCCACGGGGATCGGAGGCGACGAGCAGGGGCGAATAGCCCAGGGGAGGGAGAGCAATACTCACACGCCGGTCGGAAGGAGTAGGTAGAAACATGAGGTAGGAAGGCGGATAAAGTGGGTTGGGTCCAGGCCCGCCCAGAGAAGAACAAAACACAGCAAAAGCGTGCCGATCCTTGAAATAGGAAGGCGCTTGAAGTAGATTGGGATCTGGGAGAATCCCAAAATACCTACTTTCAACGACCGGCGTGTACATGCATCCAGGGGCGCCGATGGTCCATGCTTTCGGCGAGGAGGCGTGTAATGTAACGCCCGCCCCTGGGCTCTTGGCCCTTACTCGTCGCCTCCGAGGGTCGGCCCCTCTCCGCGGCCTGCCTCTCACGCCACCGACTTACGCATGCGGCCGACCCCCCGCCGGGCCCTGCCGGCCGAAGTCGCCCCCGAGTGCCACGGCGTGGCCCACGGGGAGGCCTCATCATGGTGGAGACGGGCCGTGAAGGACCTTCCCCGGGGACGAGCTCTTCGTACCGAGCCGCGTTCCTGACAGCCCCGGGGCCCGTGGAGGAGGGCCCGAAAACGGCGACAACCCTCAAGATCCGTTCCCCTCAGGACCCGCTTCCCCCACAGCGAAAAGCTCTCGTCGGACCTCCCGCTGCCGGGAAGAGGGTCCCAGGGTCCACAGAAGGCCAGTCCGCGGCCCAAAACGCCGCCACCACTCCGGGGAGCCCTCGTCGAGCTCCCCTCGCTGCCAGAGAGGGCGGCGCCCGAGAGGGCCATCGCGGGGCCTCTGGAGATCTCCCTCGGCCCGCCCTCCTCGGCATCGCGGACCCGCCTCCCCCACGGCGAAGACCACTCTTCCTGGCGCCACCGCCGCTCCCTGTGGCGAGCTCTCGCCAGGCGCCCACACTGCCGGGATCTTCGCCGAGGCGAGTCCTTCAGCCGCCTGGTTCTCCTCGATTTCGACCCTGGGTTGGGCTCTGCTGATGCTGATGATGACGATGATGATGACGTCATCATCATCGTCATCATCAGTGTCATCGTGATCGTCGTCGTCGTGGTCGTTGTCGTGGTCGTCGTCACCCTCACCATCACCATCACCATCACCATCATCATCACCATCACCATCACCATCACCATCACCACCATCACCATCAACATCATCATCATCATCATCATCATCATCATCATCATCACCATTACCATTACCATCACCATCACCATCACCATCATCATCAGCATCATCAGCATCAGCATCACCATCATCATCATCATCATCATCATCATCAGCAGCAGCAGCATCATCATCATCGTCATCGTCCTCATCGTCCTCATCCTGCTCCTCCTCATCATTATCATCATCCTCATCCTCATCCTCATCCTCATCCTTAGCATCATCATCAACAATATCATCATCAACATTGTCATCATCGTTGTCATCGCAATCATCATCGTCATTATCGTCAGCATCGTCATCGGCATCATCAGTGTCGTCGTGATCGTCGTCGTCGTCGTGGTCGTTGTCGTCATCATCGTCATCATCGTCGTGATCGTCATCGTGATCGTCATTAACATCATCACCATCATCATCACCATCATCATAATAATCATCCTCAATACCACCACCACCATCACCATCACAATCACCATCTCCATCATCATCATCATCATCATCGTCGTCATCATCATCATCATCATCATCATCATCATCATTATCATCCTCACCCTCATCGTCATGATCATCATCACCCTCATCATCCTCATTATCATCCTCATCATCACCCTCATCCTCATCCTCATCATCATCCTCATCCTTACAATTAGCATCAGCAACAATATCGTCATCACCAGCATCAGCATCATCATCAGCATCATCCTCATCATCATCATCATCAACATCATCATCCTCATCATCACCAGCATCATCGTCACCGTGATCGTGATGGTCATCATCTTCATCATCATCATCCTCATCCTCATCACAACCACAACCATCACCATGATCACCAGTATCATCAGCATCATCGTCATCAGGAGCAGCATCATCATCAGCATCAGCATCATCAACATCATCACCAGCATCATCATATTCATCATCGTCATCATCAACAGTATCATCTCAACATCTTCAGCACAATCATCAGCAAATCATCATCATCAACCAATCATCATGGCCACCACCACCACCATCCTCATCACATTATCGCCATTACCATCACTATTACCATCATCATCATCGTCATCATCTTCATCTGCATCTTCATAATCATCCTTCTTATCGGTATCAACATCATCATTATCGTCGTTGTCATCATCATCGTAATACGCATAGCCGTAATTCATCGTCAGGATAATCCTCATCACCACCACCACCACCATCATCACCATCATCATCATCATCATCATCATCATCGTCATCAACATCGTCACTGTCATCGTCATCGTCATCGTCATCGTCGTCGTCATCATCATCATCAAGAACATCAACAGTAGCATCACCATCACAATCGCCATCATCGTCATCATCATCACAATCAGCATACTCATCATCATCAGAAGCAACATCATCATCGTCATCATCACCGACATCTCCATCGTCATCGTCATCGTGATCGTCCTCAATGGGAGGGCGACGAATGGGGGGCGAAGAAACGTACACCCTGCGTGACCCCTGTGGACCCCAGGGGGCCCCTGTAGGGCCCCTCAGGGTGCACGAATGGTGCGCCTTCTTCCCCCCCCCCCCCCATGTATAGCCCCCCCCCCTCCCCCCCGCATTTAGCAACGCCCGACTCGTGGTCTGTTTTCGGGTTCCAAGACCACCAAAATTGCATCCATAGCGAAAAAGTATCCTATCCATGGGAAAACGCTGTCGGGACATCTAGGGCTGCGGATGCGGAAAAAAACACATTGGCGGATGTCCGGGGAGGGCACCTCGAGCCTACAGAAAGTCTGTCCGCGGCCCAAGACGCGTACTACAGGCCAGCCCCTGGCACGGGGTGGCCCACCGGGGGGCGGGGAGGCCACTTTTTTGGGGGGAGGGGAGAAGATGGGAGCGGACAACATGTTTCAACAGCCACGGGAAGCATACCGAAACTGGGAAAGAGGGGCAAACATTTACACTGCTAGGCAAGGTATATAAAAATACTGTTCAAAGAGACGGATGAAGAAAAATAAAAACAAACGAGGGGAAGGGGAAACGGAAACTCATGACTACGAGCGTGCAGCACTGCCACCACGGGAAGTCCAACACCCGCTGGGGGCGCAGCAACTACTCCAGGCTGCGCGACATAACTCGTGCATCAGGCACTCGCGGCAGGAAACAACCCCTAGTACTCCAAAGGCCCTTGCAAAGTGCATAGCGCCTCATTGTCAGGACGGGACAGCCAGAAGAACACACTGGACTCACACCATACGGCGGGGAGAAGGGAGGAGGAGAAGGAGGAGGAGGAGAAGGAAGAGGAAAAGGATAAGGAGAAGGAATATAAGGAAAAGGAGGAGGATGAGGTGGAGGAGGAAGGAAGAACACAAAAAGAGAAAAACGGCAAACGGCTGCGAAAAACAGTCGGAACAAAAACAACGTCGAAACCGACACAGACTAGGAGGCGGCGAGCATCGAGAGGACCTCAGCCAGCGACCAGCCATCCATCTCGAGGTTGACACCAGCATCGAGCCTCAGGGGGACGTACGTCAAAAACGCCAGACCAACAAAGCAAAATGAAATGCGAAGGGTACCGGGTACGAATGGAAATCTGATGGAGACTGCCACTGCAAACAGCAGGCCGCAGGAACGGAAATGACCAAAGGCGGCGCCAGCAGGGCAACACTGAAAGAAAACATCCGAGACCACTAAACTGGGGCAGACGGTCTCTGGGAATCACCAGGGCGACTCCAACATGGGACACATGGGGGGCCAACCGGAATGAAAGCACTCCCGGGGCGCGAACCCAGGGGGTCCTGTTTCCGCGGGAGAAAGACGGGCATCCTTGGCGAAGGGTTCGGGCACGGGGGTGTATAATTACCCCTGCCTATACTTCCGGAATAGGAATCAAGTCTCCGCCGCGGGGGTGCTGGCGGGGCCCCACCCCTCCCAAAGCAACCAGAGGAAGACAAGTGCGAAATCCCAGATTTTGTATGTAATGCAGCATTAAAAAATAATTGTCAAAGAACTGGATTCTTCGAATTTGCGCGCTACTGTGTCATCGCGATCCTATAATGTGACCTCATTCCCACATCGCGAGTCTACACTTTTTCCTCAAATGCCTCAGTCGCAAGTCGATAAGATTTGCACTGCAGGATCAAGTGCGGCAGTGCGCGCGCGCGGAAAAGGGAGCAAAATCCATGTGCAGGGGTCCCGGGTTTATCGGGTCCCCGCGAAAAAGGGCCCCCCGCGGAACGAAGAACATAAATCTGGCCGGGAGGGAGGGGGGGGTTAC